AACAACACGTTGGCCGGCGACAGCCATGACGTCACTACCGGTGCAACTATAGTATAAATAGGCACCGGGAGAACACATCATCCTCTTCTTCGTCTTCATTGACTGTTTTGTTTGAAGCGTGCATTTTTGTGGTAAGAGCGATCTCTATTCATATAATTATGGTGAGCACTAGCAAAGCATTTAGAGGATGTGTACATCCGTGTTGTCGTTTTTTTAACATCTGATGACACACACGATCTATGCGTTATTTGTTTGGGGGAAGAGCACGCACGCGATGTCTCCGAGGAGGCAATCGGCGTGCACTGTGAGCGTTTTTCCAATGAAAAAGCTCTCGTTGGTCTCTCTTTTCGAGGAAAGAGGGGCAGCCATCTGCTTCCCGCGATTCAGGACCCGCCGCTGCTGAGGCACGGAGGAGAATGAGCTCGTGGGGATCACAGGTGGATCTGATGAGTTTTGAAGAGAGGTTTTCCCTCTCACGATCGTCGGCTGTGGACGAGAGTGAGCCGCTGGAGGATGATATTATTTCATTAATATTGTCTGATCCAGGGGCCAGTGCTCTGCTGGGTTCAGCCCAGCAAAAGCAGTAAATGTCTGAGGAGGGCAAAGAAGCTGAGACTGAGCCTTTCCCAATCCTCCTGCCCTGCGTATGATGAGCTTTTGAAAGTTATGGATCGCGCCACAGCGAGGCTTGCCGTGAAGCAGGCAAAGAAAATGACGTCGTATCTCGATGAATGCTATTTTTCTGGCCATAACCCTCCAGCTCAGGTGAGCCTTCCTTTCTTCCTGCTTTCCATACAGAGATTGAGAAGGAATGGAAGAGGCCATTTTTCCTCACACATCCATCGATTTCAGCATACGAGTTATGCCAACATTGAGGCGATGCGCGAAAGAGGTTATGAGAAGATGCCCCTATAGAGAGACGCTAGCTATCTCTCTATGGGTGAGGCGTCCTCTCTTAAGACTTCCTGCTTGACATCTCGCTCGAATGCCAGGGCATACGCAGCAGCAGCAGGTCAGGCTGTCGCTTCATTGCACACAATCGTGATGCTCCAAGCATATCAGGTTGACCTGCTGAAAGACCTGGATAAAGGCAAGGGCCTTTCTCCTGATGAGGTTGCTTAGTGCGGGCTTTCTTCTCGATGCGCCGGTTTCGCCTTGAGTATTTTTGGAACCTCCGTTGAGACGGTGGTCGAGAAGATCAGGGAGGCAAAGGCGCGCTCAGCGGCCTTCACGAAGGTCCAGGTCTGAGCCCGAACAACCCAGGGGTCCTGGGCCATCTCAGTTTGAGGATCAGAGATGGGCACAGAAGGCTAGTGTCGCGGCTCGCGCTCCTCCCCCGCCCACGGGTAAGGGTAGGACAAATCGTGGGTCAAAGGAAGGTAGGTAAAAGACCTAAGGGATGTGATCCAGACAGGGCGTCAGCGCTTTTGTCCGGATCAGAGTGATACCTCAGTATCTACTAATTTCCTTCGGGGGTCTTACATCTGCCCTTATCTTCCCCTTCCTAATTCCCCTGTAACCACCATATCTCCACCTGACCGAGGTTAGGTGGGAATTTTCATGCATTACAGTCTCCTATGCTGGACCTATGATGTTTGGTTGGTTCTGTGGCTTCATAGTGACCACCTTACTGATGGTCCAGACCAGAGGCTTTTTCGGATGGGGCTCCGACGCGGGAACCATGGTGGGTGAGTACGATCCATTTCTAAATATATATATATATATATATATATATA